CCGTTCCCCGCGACGTGTACTTGACGCGTACCTTTCAATTTCAGTCGTAACACCGCAACGGTGCGTAACGTAATCGACTGCCACACTGTTCCGGTTTCTCATGGTTAGGCCAGCGAATCCAATGAAATCTCGAAAAGCCTATAGCATGAGATGCGTAACAGAGAAGCGCGAAAACACTCAGGTGAGAGGTATATCTTCAAAGTTCGGCCGCGCCTTTAAAGCACGAGATACAGTAAACTACAGAGTACAGTTTACGAGTTGGAGCTTTATTAATCGCGTCCCCGAAATTCCACGAGGCGTTCCCAGGGTCGTTGGGTTAAGAGGAAGACGGATAGAAGAGAAGACGTTATATTCAAGTCGGAGACATTGACGAATACGCGCCTACACCTGACAAATCGTAGGATTAGATACTTTTCTTCCAACCCCTACGAGAATCTGAAACGACGTTTTCCGTTCCATCGGCTCCAAACCATTCCTTTGTTCCCGCCGCGCGTTTCTTTCTATCATCGTAATCACAAGCGTCGAGTACGCTCGACTCTTGTTTGAAGACTCGACGTTCGTATACCAAAGCCGATTGAAACGCTGCGAAAGCGTCGAAAACGAAACACTCGTGACTAATCACGGTCAGCTACCGAAATTTTCAACAACCACTGACGACCGAGTAATCCAGATGCTCTACGGATCTCCCCATTTTTTCTATTATCCCTCTGGGTCGTCCTTAGACGGTGGTAGTTGCTCGCTTTCTCGAACGTCGTGCGGAGAACCGAAAATCGGCTACCGGCTTTTTCGAATTCGCCTTTCTACCGTGATTTACGAATCCTCACGGCCCGAGTCGGTTGTGCGTGTCTTCTAGGTCGGTCGCGGACGAGCGAGAAGGATGGAAGACACGACCGACCGCTGGAAAGAGCGAGAAAAGAGAGAGAGGACGAGAGTTTTGGTGCACGTTGCGAGAGCAAGGAAGAGGATTTCGGAAATGACTTCGAGACGAGGAAGATAAAGGCTCGTCGAGAGGCGACGACTCTTGTTCCGTCGCGTTTTTCCTCGTCTAATACAGCCAGGGTGGCTGAGCCACCCCATCGGCATAGGGATAGGCGCTCGGTTGGCGTTGGCGTCGGGATCGAGGCTCGCCACAACAATTTCTCTGTTCAACGATGTAGGTTACCGAGACCAGGCTTTCAGGGACCTTTTAGCCTAGTGGTTTACTGCCCTACAATAAATCAATTGCTACCGGCTGACCGACGAGTCCGCGCGCGGTTCACCCTCCGAGGATCTTTTCGAAAGTTCGTCTGTCGTCGAGGTCGAGCTGCTCACTTTTTCCTTCCTCTCCGACCGGGTTTCCAACCGAAAACGGCGCGGGTCTTTCGACGCATTCGAACATGATCGTACAACCTACGAGCGTGATCTTACAACCTACGAACGTAATCTCGCAACCCTGTTGTCGGCTAGATAGTAAAGCTGTAAACTACTCAACTAGCAATCTCGTCAGTTATGCCATCTGCTCGTAACGGTGGCGATCGATTGCACGCTTTCATTGTTTATATCGTATTTATATAGTATTTGTATCGACTATTCAGGACTTCTCGGAACCGGTGGCCCGGAACTAGCGTTGAGCCGTTGTTTGGAAAGCGACCTGCTGCAAAGGGTTGTTGAAAGCGATACGTAATAAAAATCGACGATTCTCGATCGTCTCATCGTGCGGCGCCTGTAAGACTCGAAATATATTCAAGTCTTAATACTTAATCTGTATCTCGAAAATTCAATTGTTTATGAAACTGGCTTTCTCCATCCTTAAATTACAGTCTATAGTGTGCGTCTCGACGCTTGCAGAACTGGATTTCGATGTCTCTGCATTCGATGGTGATGATAAACTATTTTACAATGTTTTTTTTTTTAACCTTGTTGCTATTATAAACTGCATGCTCGAAATCGTGATCCTAGATGAAAGAGAAAAAACAAAGGCAGATTTTTGTTCTACGCCGATGTAGCTTCGGTGCGAACTACGCTCGTGCCCGTGGCGAAATTATGGTTCGCGCCAATACTGTATCGATATAGAACAAGAAACTGTCTTCGCTACGGGCACAGCTTCGGATAAATGCTTCGGAACAAGGATCTATGTGACGTCACACGGGGATTAAAGTAACAACGAAACTTTGTCGTCGAGTCTGTGGTATATATTTTGAAATATTCGATTTAAATCATCGTGTTGTTTCTTTGTAATTTGTTTCCGTTTAATGAATGCCAAAAACGATACACGGACGTCAACAGTAATTTGTTTACAATTATTTATTGTAAACACTGCTCGGCGATCGAACTCCTGGGCACCGCAAGGGGTATACCTCGCAGCGATGATTTCAGTGCATTCATGGTAGACATATCTGTGCATTTATCGTAGACATATCTGTGCATTTATGGTAGACATATCTGTGCATTCATGGTAGACATATCTGTGCATTTATGGTAGACATATCTGTGCATTTATGGTAGACATATCTGTGCATTCATGGAGACCTTACCGTACCTTTTCGTAAAGCGCGATCGATCCCGCGTGGATTTTGGCGAGTAGTTGGACAACTCGACGGCAATGATCGAAATTATTGGTACGAAATAAAATAGTTTCTAGAAATATCATCTTGTGACGTCACATGAGAACATCTTTCCGCGTTGTCTTCACTTCGATTCGTAGATCCGTGTATACGGACCCTTCTTTACGAGTACCGTACGGCCGAAAGTGTCCTGAAAGAATTTAATCGAGGTAACCTCGTTCGTCCATCACTGGAATCATTTTCTTCGCGAGCTTCGCCGCGTCTGGATTTTTAAAAACGTCCATCTCAGTCTCGCCCAAACGATCCTTCAACGCCTCGCTGAAAGTTTCCGTGTCCTCGGGGTTTGCCAACATTCGTAAAGAGAGTACGATGCCGGCAAAAACTGCGTATATCCTCTTTTTATGAATCGTTTCTTCGAGTTGTCGGTTCGTTAACGGTTTCCTTTTGCAACCGATCGTTTCCATGGTTTCCCTCAAAGTCCCCAAATAAACGTCCAAAAAGTAATCGTCGTTGTCGTATCTCACGTCTAACTCTGGACAAATGTTTAGAAAGTAGAGCAGATCGATCACCGGAGAGGCGTAGACAGCCATTTGATAGTCTAGCTGGAAAGTCCATAATTACAGTAAGCGGGTGATTCTTATGGATTAGAAAGGTAGAGAACATTGTGCAGTTATGGAGACATTACTGTACTTACCAGAAGCACATCAACGGGCTGGCCTTTCTCGTTTTCTTTAAACATCATATTATTGATCCAACAGTCTCCGTGATTCAACACGCAGAATTCATTCGAATCGTACTCGTACACCTCCACGCACCTTCGTCCGACGCTTTTCGACAGATTAATTAATTTTGCCGCCGCGCGAACACACTTCTCGTCCGACCACTGTAGCATCTCTCTGCCTATTCGCAAAAGGCTAACCTCCATCAATCGTAAGTAACTCGGCGGACATTTAGCGGACACGACACCGCCGTTTCTAAACGATTCCACGATCTCGGGATCCTACAAACAATCACGACGAGTTGCTAATTGTACGCAGAGTTTCTTCTTTTTCATTCAAAGGGAAACGGCGGCCTGTAAGGTCTCCGTGAAATGCACAAACTCGGGACCGAAGAGGTGCATTTATGGTAGACTTTGTACATTCTCTGATGTTTGCCGGTGAAACTTTTCTGTTACTAACTTGTTTGTTGTCAAACTTTTACTATCGTATTCCCGACATTTTTCTCGATTAAAACGAGACCAAACACGATACAATTCGAACGATATTTACCACGCGTTTTTGTTTAGTTAGCGCTACGATGTATCGCGTCGTGTTTGGTCTCGTTTTAATTGGAAACATGTCAGGAGTACGATAGTAAAAGTTTTACAAGAAGAAACCTTTCACCGTTGCATCGAATCGTCTCGCTGGCGTACTCTGGTGTTTTCGCTCCGTCCTCTTCTTTATTCGCTGTCCTCTACGTTCGAAGTTTTCGTCGGCAAACGTCAGAGATAAAACGATCATGTAAACACTGCTCGGCGATCGAACTCCTGGGCACCGCAAGGGGTATACCCCGCAGCGATTATTTCAGTGCATTCATGGTAGACATGTCTGTGCATTTATGGTAGACATATCTGTGCACTTATGGTAGACATATCTGTGCATTTATGGTAGACATATCTGTGCATTTATGGAGACCTTACCGTAAACCTTGACCGTGACCTTACCTTTTCGTAAAGCTTGATCGATCCCGCGTGGAGTTTGGCGAGTAGTTGGACAACTTGACGGCAATGATCGAAAGGTAAACCTTTCTGGCGACACTTCATCACGAATTGTCGCGTTGTTAGATTCTCCATAACGAGCGTCGCGGGATCATCGGAACCGTACAACAGCCACGGTCCTATCGGACGACCGACCAGCTTTTTTATCTCCGGCAGAACGTCGCGCATCATTTTCAACTCGACCAGAAACATATCTTGCCGACGAGCCATGTCCCGGTTGTACTCGTCCGACGATTCCAATTTAACGATCGCGTCCATCGACTTCTCGTTACCGCAACCCGACCTGTACTTGACGAACACTCGAAACAGTTCGCTAAAAAAGTTCAGTCCTTTCTTCGATAGATTCAGCTCCTTAACGTCCACGACGTTTATCGCGTCGTCCAACATTTCCCGCCGGAGAACCGTCTCGAAAACGCGTTTGTCGATTTTGCAACTCGTCGCATCCATATTAAATGCCTCTACCGAGCAGCGAACACTTCGGGAGCCGAGTATATGCACGAACGATACGAACGACTACTGTGACGAACACTACACGTGACTGTTGAGCAGAAACTAACAATCCTGTGCTTCACGAAGACGCATTCATCTCGATCAATGACGACCACGGTGTACAACGAGTTACAAAATAGAGACACGCGGAGAAAGTAACGCGGGAGTACGGAAGACGAAGAAATGAGTGATTAAATATGTTTCCATGCTGTTTAAGTATTTAATTATAAAGAAAAAAGTCCAAAAATTCTGTTTTATCGATACGTGTATCGCACATCCATCGCCCTTGCTCTCTACGCGTGCCAGTAATTATGCGACTCGCTGTACGTACCAGCCGTGACACGTAGTTCATAGATTAGCATACAGTCGACGACAAAAGTCGCGGCGAGGACATTTTCTTTTACGTGTAACTTTATACATGCACCAACGACTACGCATACGAATATTAATACGATGAACGTATCGAGACTTTTGCGATCAACTGTACGTATTACGCACTACATGCCATCGGTTTATTACGCGGTACGCGATATTGTAGATTCATCGTATTTCTCTTCGAGGTTAATCCGTTCGTAAAGGGATGATTAATCGCGAAAACAATTCGGGAAAAGAAGGAAAGAAATAAAGGAGAAACCACGGCCCGGAAGTTTCACAAATCACTCAAATTTTCCGAGCGCTATAGTCCCATGGTGCACGGTGGTTCGGTACCCATCGTATAACTTTTATAGGGGCCTACAAAGAACCGGCTACCGTACCTCTCATCTCACCGTCGCTTTTCCTTTTTTTTTTTTTCCATCTTCGTTTTTCGAGTCTCCTAAAAATGTTTGCGATCCTAAAAACTTTTACGACGCGTGCGGTAAACCGAGAGTCGTTTCTGCAGTCACCGCGGCTCGGTCGACGACCGGGAAACTTTCCGAAACACTTTCGAAAATTCGACAACCTTCGCGAGGATGGTAAATCATCTTCGTCCTTTTTTTTTTCTCCCACCCTTCACCGCTTTATCTTTACTTTTACGGGCGGCCGTGCATTGTTCCCGCGACCGCTAAACCGGTTCCGATTTTCCGATTGTGCGGTAAGAGAGCTTCGCGTTTCGACAATTTTCTTCGTTTAACCCTCAAATGGACAATGTTGTTTTTAAACAACATACTAAACATCACAGATAAAATTGACCTTCTTTTATTTTTTTTTTTTTTGTAATTTTGACAACTAGGAAGCAAAAAAAAAAAATCGTCCATTTAAGGGTTAATATTTCAGGAAATACATCGATTCTGTTTCGACGACGTTCGCATGATCGACATTTTGCACGTTCGGAGAAGGAAATTATTCAGGTTGTTTTGTACAGAAAGGATATTCGTTTGCATTTAACTGATCATTTTTATTTCAACTGGATATACAATGAACAAATTTTTACAATGGTAGACACATCTGTGCATTTACGGAGACCTTACCGCACCTTTTCCAGGGGTATACCCCGCAGCGATGATTTCAGTAGACATATCTGTGCATTCATGGTAGACATATCTGTGCATTCATGGTAGACATATCTGTGCATTTATGGTAGACATATATGTGCATTCATGGTAGACATATATGTGCATTCATGGTAGACATATATGTGCATTCATGGTAGACATATATGTGCATTCATGGTAGACATATCTGTGCATTTATGGAGACCTTACCGTACCTTTTCCAGGGGTATACCCCGCAGCGATGATTTCAGTGCATTCATGGTAGTCGTATCTGTGCATTTATGGTATAATTATGTAAAGAAAATAAGATGTAACAAAAATATACTGCTCAGGACCACAGAAAAACTCTTAACCCTTTATACTCGAGAGGTGACTCGGTCGCCAGTAAGTTTGACGCAGCAAATCAATCAGCAATAGTGTTCGTTGAATTTTTCCGGGGCTCAAAGTGCCAATAAAACGATCATCGAAACGATCGAGTCTCGAACTAGAGACGTCGTTTTCGAAGCGAATCTGAGATTCGCATTCGTGGCGTCAGAAAATGCCGTGCGTAAGCTATCAGTCGGAGCTACCGTAAAAACTAACGTAGATTTGATGTGCGTACGGCATAGCGTTAATCGTACGGGGTAAAAGTTTGTCCGCGAGGTGTCATCTCATAGAGGGTAGAGTGGCGCAGCGTGCGCGCGTCGAAAATACCCCCTGTGGGTCGGTGGCACCCCTACCTCGCGAGAGCCGTTTGTTCGGTTCGTTGCGAGTTTACGACCCTGTTGGGCCACAAAATTTACGGTGCCTTCTTAAAAGCGATCCAAACACGTACCGGCCTATCCCGTAGGATCGTTCGGGAGTGCAGCGTGGCGCGGGCGCGCTTGCCACGCGCTTTCCTCGCCAACTAGCACAACTCCTAGCGTACAATTCACGCCGGCAACCTTTTCTACTCCGAACACCTCTCCACCCTTCACTCCACCCTTCGCTCCACCCTTCGCTCTACCCTTTACTCCTTTCCACGAATCTCTACTTTTCTCTCTGATATCCTCTGATATCCTTCGATCTCCCTGATATCTTCGATAGCTGGTTCTTATCAACCCTTTCCATACCTACGATCATCGTTAGCCGCGCACCGATGGCCGTTATTCGATCAGCCAGCGTAATAGGAGACCTCTCGCGTGCATGTTCCTCGCGTGTAATCAAATTTATATAAAACATTGCTGGATGATCGCGAGCCAGAGCAGAGTGACACAAACTCGATTACATAAAATAAATGCACGAAGCCCCTTTGTATCTTTGTAGCCCAAGCGCCGTGCGTGAAACCTTTTCGAGAAATCTTTACATATGCATGGACCATCGCCGGCGATGCCATACAAGTACCCCTCGTCCCCTCGCATCGAGTACCCCATTTTCTGTTACCTTTGCTCATCTCTCCGTCACAACACGTAAAAACGCGACGGACGCGAGCGCGAATCCAACGATCGAAAAGTCAATCGCGAGTAATTCTCGAAGTCAGCGACGAAGAAAAGCATAGGTACGCTCGGAATAATCGCTCTGAAGCGTACGTCGGAAACGAGAGACGGTGTTTCAGGATCCCGGAAGGGATCGGTAAAAAAGGAAAAATATCACCAACATCCGGCAGGGAACGCGCTGTACGATAATCCTTTCCGCGAAAGCTCGTTGGGCTACCGCGAACAATTTTACCAATCGACCAACTGTCCACGGAACGAGATCCACCAAACGTCCGAGACTCCGGGAAACAGAAATACGAGCAACGACAATAAATTCGAAAGCGGACGACTTTCACCCTAAAATCTCTCGGCGAACCTGACCGACCCGGTGCGACTCGACCTGACCAGACCAGCGAGACCATCGATTAGAGCGGATCTGACCCAGCCAAGGTTTTTCTCGGATGCGCATCATTTTTGGATACACTTTATTCTGGTTCTCGAAACTTCCTTTTTGAAGGGGTGGGATATAAAGGGACGTTCAGAGAAGGAAATTTGACGTTAATGATTCAATTCGAATAGACAGAACGGGGCAAATCGGATATCTTCGATACTATGAATACGGTAGCACGTACTACGAATTGAAATAAGAAAAAAATGTTGGTTGAAGTTTGCTTAGAAACTTTGAGAACGTTGGGTACTTTGAGAACTTTGCTAGAAGTGTGTTAGAAGGATCCTTGAGATTTTTACACCTGCTAGACCGTCCCCTTCCCTTACGTTACGGACCACTTCCGCGATAGAATATTTCGTGTAAGGATAAACGAAAAAATCTTTGCACTTCTCGTACGGATGAAACAGGAGAAACCGTGGAATCCTATCGCAAGATAGCGTTTATATTATTTAACAAACAAGCCGGATGAAGAGCTTAGGAGAGTACTGTTACCGCTAATCCTTCCAACGACTTGGTAATTAAGAGATTAAACTCTGTTGCCTGACACCGTCTCAACCTATCTCCTTTTTTTCCTCTGTTTTTTAACTCGTACCTTTATTAGATTTCGTACCTGTTATCCCGACGGTTCTACGCGCGCGGTTTGTCTGGAAAATGATAGCTCGAAAATGATAGCTAGAAAATGAACAGCTCGAAAATGAGTAGCTCGAACGTTTGGTCATCGTCGTGAAAATACGGGAAGGAGAGTAAGTTTTCGGGGTGTAGTCCGGCAATTTGAGCGGGCAGCTATGATGTCGACGGTACGCCGACGCCGACGTTTCGATTGGTAGAGATGTACGAGCACGCACATATTCGCGGTACAAGACTGAAAGGACACGTCTCGAATATTTTACCCGGGGAGTTTTTCCTCTTTAATTGATTCAATCGGCGAAAAACACGGCAGGACCGCTTCACCCTCCGGGAGTTTTCATCCGCCGCGCCGCGCCACCTCCGCATCGCCCACACTTTCAGCAACCAACCGCTGTAACGAGACGCCAGAACCGACCTTCCTTTTCGATGAAAACGCCAACCTCTCTTCGCGGTTATATTCCCTCTTCCCTCTTTCTCTCTTCCGCAGCCTTATTTCCTCTTTATTACTATCTCCACTCGGTTCGCGTATAGACCGTTCTTTTCGCGCCTCTGTTCCTTTATCGTTAGCCTCCCAGCTTCAGAAAACGCGCAGAAATTCTATACGATCCAACTTGATCTCCAACTTTATTTAGTAATTATTCACCCGAGGAGCTCGAAAGCCAACTGTCTTCTCTCTACGCTGGTTCCTCGCGTTGCAACGCGATCCTCCGCGTATATCTCCATAAACGCACTCCTGATTCTCCACGAAATTTCTTTCCAGTCCTCTCGTTTCCCCTCGTTTCACCGACATCTTGATTTCAATTATTGACGTCATTATATCTACTTTGTACGTCATATACATTGAGACTATTCAATATGGCTGCCCAAATACTATACCAAACACTCTCAGACAGTATTTTCGTGTAGACAGTATATACATTGACTGCATGCAATATTGCTCTCCCTTCCCGCATCGCCAAAGTACAGCAAACCTTCTCAGACAGTATTTTCGTGTAGACAGTATACACATTAACTGCATGCAATATTGCTCTCCCTTCCCGCATCCCCAAAGTAAATACAGCAAACCTTCTCAGACAGTATTTCTATGCAGACAGTATACATTTAACACTATGCAATATGGGTGCCTCCACCAAATACTATACCAAACACTCTCAGACAGTATATACATTCAACTCTATGCAATATAGGTGCCTCCACCAAATACTATCCCAAACCCTCTGAGACAGTATTTCCACGTAGACAGTATACATTCAATACTATGCAATATAGGTGCCTCCACCAAATACTATACCAAACCCTCTG